AGTATAGGAATGCATTGAAAATCAGGAAGAAAGGGATTGTCAGTGGTCAGGAATGAATGCAAGCATTACTGATAGAATAGGGCTATTATATGTATAATGGAAATGCATTGCTAATGATTTTACTATAGGAATGCATTGAAAATGAGGAAGAAGGGGATTGTCAGTGGTCAGGAATGAATGCAAGCATTACTGATAGAATAGGGCTATTATATGTATAATGGAATTGCATTGCTAATGATTTTAGTATGATTTTAGTATAGGAATGCATTGAAAATTACTGATAGAAGAAATATGTAAATGGAAATGCATTGTCATGATTTTCAGGAATGAAAATGAGGAAGAATTGTCACTGATAGAATAGGATAGAATAGGGCTATTATATGTATAATGGAAATGCATTGCTAATGATTTTACTAAAGGAATGCATTGAAAATGAGGAAGAAAGGGATTGTCAGTGGTCAGGAATGAATGCAAGCATTACTGATAGAATAGGGCTATTATATGTATAATGTAGATGCATTGCTAATGATTTTACTATAGGAATGGATTGAAAATCAGGAAGAAAGGGATTGTCAGTGGTCAGGAATGAATGCAAGCATTACTGATAGAATAAGGCTATTATATAATGTAAATGCAATGTGATTTTAAATGCATTGAAAATCAGGAAGAAAGGGATTGTCATGGTCAGAATGAATTTAATAGGCCATATATGTAAATGTAGATGCATTGCTAAAATTTTTACTATAGGAATTGAAAAGAAAGGATTGTCAGTAATCAGGAATGAATCAAGCATTACTGATAGAATATGAATATGTAAAATGCATTGCATTTTTACTATAGGAATGGATTGAAAATCAGGAAGAAAGGGATTGTCTATTGAATGCAAGCATTACTATAGAATAATATGTATAATGTAGATGCATTGCTAATGATTTTACTATAGGAATGCATTGAAAATCAGGAAGAAAGGGATTGTCAGTAGGTCAGGAATGAATGCAAGCATTACTGATAGAATATAGGGCTATATTATATGTAAATGCATTGCTAAATTTTACTATATGGATTGAAAATCAGGAAGAAAAAGGATTGTCAGTGGTCAGGAATGAATGCAAGCATTTTACTATAATGTAAATGCATTAATTAGGAATGAAAATCAGGAAGAAAAGGATTGTCAGTGGTCAGGAATGAATGCAAGCATTACTGATAGAATATGGCTATTATATGTATAATGAATGCATTGCATTTTACTTGAAAATCAGGAAGAAAGGGATTGTCAGAATTACTGATAGAATATGGCTATTATATGTATAATGTAAATGCATTAAATACTATAGGAATGGATTGAAAATGTGGTCAAATGAATGCAAGCATTACTGATAGAATATTTTACTATATAATGTAAATGCATTGCTAATGAATTTACATTGAAAATCAGGAAGAAAAAGGATTGTCAGTGGTCAGGAATGAATGCAAGCATTACTGATAGAATATGGCTATTATATGTATAATGTAAATGCATTGCTAATGATTTTACTATAGGAATGCATTGAAAATCAGGAAGAAAAGGATTGTCAGTGGTCAGGAATGAATGCAAGCATTACTGATAGAATATGGCTATTATATGTATAATGTAAATGCATTGCTAATGATTTTACTATAGGAATGCATTGAAAATCAGGAAGAAAAGGATTGTCAGTGGTCAGGAATGAATGCAAGCATTACTGATAGAATATGGCTATTATATGTATAATGTAAATGCATTGCTAATGATTTTACTATAGGAATGCATTGAAAATCAGGAAGAAAAGGATTGTCAGTGGTCAGGAATGAATGCAAGCATTACTGATAGAATATGGCTATTATATGTATAATGTAAATGATTTTATTGCTAATTGAAAATTTTCACTATCAGGAATGAATGATTGAAAATATAGCAGGAAGAAAATGCATTGCTAATGATTTTCTATAGGAATGAATGCAAGCATTACTGATAGAATATGGCTATTATATGTATTATATGTATAATTTAAATGCATTGCTAATGATTTTACTATAGGAATGCATTGAAAATCAGGAAAAAGGATTGTCAGTGGTCAGGAATGAATGCAAGGATAGAATATGGATATGTATAATTTAAATGCATTGCTAATGTTTTACTATAGGAATGCATTGAAAATCAGGAAGAAAAGGATTACTCAGAATGAATGCAAGCATTACTGATAGAATATGGCTATGTATATGTATAATGTAAATGCATTGCTAATGATTTTACTATAGGAATGCATTGAAAATCAGGAAGAAAAGGATTGTCAGTGGTCAGGAATGAATGCAAGCATTACTGATAGAATATGGCTATTATATGTATAATTTAAATGCATTGCTAATGATTTTACTATAGGAATGCATTGAAAATCAGGAAGAAAAGGATTGTCAGTGGTCAGGAATGAATGCAATGAATGAAGAATACTGATGTATAATGTAAATGCATTGCTAATGATTTTACTATAGGAATGCATTGAAAATCAGGAAGAAAAGGGATTGTCAGTGGTCAGGAATGAATAAGCATTACTGATAGAATATAAAATATTATATGTATAATTTAAATGCATTTTAATGATTTTACTATAGGAATGCATTGAAAATCAGGAAGAAAGGATTGTCAGTGGTCAGGAATGAATGCAAGCATTACTGATAGAATATGGCTATTATATGTATAATGTAAATGCATTGCTAATGATTTTACTATAGGAATGCATTGAAAATCAGGAAGAAAAGGATTGTCAGTGGTCAGGAATGAATGCAAGCATTACTGATAGAATATGGCTATTATATGTATAATTTAAATGCATTGCTAATGATTTTACTATAGGAATGCATTGAAAATCAAAAAAGGATTGTCAGTGGTCAGGAATGAATGCAAGCATTAATAGAATATGGTATAATGTCATTTTACTATAGGAATGTTGAAAATCAGGAAGAAAAGGATTGTCAGTGGTCAGGAATGAATGCAAGCATTACTGATAGAATATGGCAATAATTTAAATGCATTGCTAATTTTTACTATAGGAATGCATTGAAAATCAGGAAGAAAAGGATTGTCAGTGGTCAGGAATGAATGGATTACTGATAGAATATATGTATAATGTAAATGCATTGCTAATGATTTTACTATAGGAATGGATTGAAAATCAGGAAGAAAGGGATTGTCAGTGGTCAGGAATGAATGCAAGCATTACTGATAGAATATGGCTATTATATGTATAATGTAAATGCATTGCTAATGATTTTACTATAGGAATGGATTGAAAATCAGGAAGAAAGGGATTGTCAGTGGTCAGGAATGAATGCAAGCATTACTGATAGAATATGGCTATTATATGTATAATGTAAATGCATTGCTAATGATTTTACTATAGGAATGGATTGAAAATCAGGAAGAAAGGGATTGTCAGTGGTCAGGAATGAATGCAAGCATTACTGATAGAATATAGCTATTATATGTATAATGTAAATGCATTGCTAATGATTTTACTATAGGAATGGATTGAAAATCAGGAAGAAAGGGATTGTCAGTGGTCAGGAATGAATGCAAGCATTACTGATAGAATATAAGCTATTATATGTATAATGTAAATGCATTGCTAATGATTTTACTATAGGAATGCATTGAAAATCAGGAAGAAAAGGATTGTCAGTGGTCAGGAATGAATGCAAGCATTACTGATAGAATAGGGCTATTATATGTATAATGTAAATGCATTGCTAATGATTTTACTAGTGGAATGCATTGAAAATCAAGAAGAAATGTATTGTTAATGGTCAGGAATGAATGCAAGCATTACTGATAGAATAAGGCTATTTTATGTAAAATGTAAATGCATTGCTAATGATTTTACTATAGGAATGCATTGATAATCAGGAAGAAAGGGATTGTCATTGGTCAGGAATGAATGCAAGCATTACTGATAGAATAGGGCTATTATATGTATAATTAAATTGCATTGCTAATGATTTTAATATAGGAATGCATGGAAAATCAAGGAAGAAAGGGATTGTCTGTGGTCAGGAATGAATGCAAGCATTACTGATAGAATAGGGCTATTATATGTATAATGGAAATGCATTGCTAATGATTTTTACTATAGGAATACATTGATAATCAGGAAGAAAGGGATTGTCAGTGGTCAGGAATGAATGCAAGCATTACTGATAGAATAGGGCTATTATATGTATAATGGAAATGCATTGCTAATGATTTTTACTATAGGAATGCATTGAAAATGAGGAATAAAGGGATTGTCAGTGGTCAGGAATGAATACAAGCATTACTGATAGAATAGGGCTATTATATGTATAATGGAAATGCATTGCTAATGATTTTACTATAGGAATGCATTGAAAATCAGGAAGAAAGGGATTGTCAATGGTCAGGAGTGAATGCAAGTATTACTGATAGAATAGGGCTATTATATGTATAATGTAAATGTATTGCTAATGATTTTACTATAGAAATCAATTGTTCATAATTTACTAGAGAAACGCATTGGAAATCATGAAGAAAGCCACTGTTAGTGATCTCGAATAAAGGCTTTAACTGCAAAATAAGGTTAATAATTCACAACATGAATATTGATTCGTTTTATTTTCATGTATTTAACTTTGTATATAATTGTTAGAAAGCATTCCTTTTTGAATTTCAACTTGGGTAAAATATGATTCTTAATGAGCCTATTATCAGTTCTGTTTTTGAAGATCTTAATTGTCATTTCAAATAAAAAATAAAATAAAATACGACTGCACCGTTGAAATCTCCATTTTTCATCTAAATTGACCAATTAGTTTCTTTATTTTCACTGTGTGAGGAAGACGTGCGCACAGACACACAGAGCCGAATTTCTTACGTGAAGACATTTTTGTTTGCTTTTGCTCGAAAGGAGAACAATACGCACTTGCAAATTTTAATCTCTACATGACGCAATAAATTTTAATCTCTTTATAGGATGCTGTTTGATATCGCCGTTCTTGCTTTCATTTTTAAATCCAGCATTGAAAGATACCCAGAATCTCTCTCTCTCTCTCTCTCTCTCTTTCTTTCTTTCCCGCTCTCTCATTCTTCCTCTTTCTCTCAATCATTCTCTTTCTTTCTCATTCGCGTTTTTCTCGCATTCTTTCTCTCTTTTTCATTCTTTCTCTTTCTATTTCTCATTCTCTCTCTTTCTCATTCTCTTTTTTTCTCATTCTCTCTCTCATTTTCTCTCTTTCTCATTCTCTTTTTCACCCATTCTCTCTGTTTCTCTCTCATTCTCTTCCTTTCTCATTCTCTTTTTCTCTCTCTAATTCTCTCTCTTTCTCATTCTTTTTTTCACCCATTCTCTCTGTTTCTCTCCAATTCTCTCTTTCTCATTCTCTTTCTCTCTCTCTCTCTTTCTCTCTCTCTCATCCTCTCTTTCTTATTATCTTTTTCTCTTATTCTCTCTTTCTCTTTCATTCTCATTCTCTTTTCTCTCATTCCCTCTTTCTCTCTCTCTCATTCTCTCTCTTTCTCATTCTCTTTTTCTATCATCCTCTCTTTCTTTTTCTCTCATTCTCTGTCTCATTCTCTCTCTTTCTCATTCTCTTTTTCTCTCATTCTCTCTATTCCTCTCTAATTCTCTCACTTTCTCGTTCTCTTTTTCTCTCATTCTCTGTTTCATTCTCTCTCTTTCTCATTCTCTTTTTCTCTCTGTCATTCTCTCTCTTTCTCTCTCATTCTCTCTTTCTTATTCTATTTTTCTCTCATTCCCTCTTTCTATCTCTCTCGCATTCTTTCTCTTTCTCTCTCTTATTCTCTCTCTTTCTCATTCTCTTTTTCTCTCATTCTCATTCTTTCATTCTCCCCCCCCCCTCTCTCTCTCTCTCTCTCTCTCTACGGAGGCACGGTGGAGGTATGAATATCTGCTCAGATTACGATAAATTGTAAAGCCGAGTTCGATTTCGTGTTCATTAATCTAAATTCTGGAAAAAATATTTAATCCATAGTGGGGGTCGGTGGCTGTTTAATCTGAGGCGATCATCCGTCCCGTCCTTTAACAGCTCTTTTTTTTTCTGCTGCTGAGATTCCCCTTACACTCCTCACCAGACCAGGCACTGGC